CGGACGCTTAACCGACTGCGCCACCCAGGCGCCCCAATAGTCTTAATTTTTTAAAAATGTTTATTTATTTTGGGGATAGAGAAAGAGTGCAAGCAGGGGAGGGGCAGAAAGAGAGTGAGACACAGAATCTGAAGCAAACTCCAGGTTTCAAGGTGTCAGCACAGAGACCAACATGGGGCTTGAACCCATGAAGCCCAGGATCATGAGCTGGGCCAAAGTCAGATGCTTAACTGACTGAGCCACCCAGGCACCCCGAATAGTTTTAAAAATAGATTCTTTGTCTTCTCTCCACCCATAGTAAACTGCAAAAAAAGTAAAGAATTATATTATTGTAAAAGTTGGGAAATAATTGAATATCTCTAAAATGATGATGATTTTGTCAAATACATTCTTGGATGCTTGGCGTTGTGATTCATCAATACTATCATTGAATTCAGTCAGTATGCAAAAAAATGTGGTAGCTTATATTTTATGTGTAGTGTAGGTCAATTTACCTTCAATAGCAATTGATATAGAAAATGATTGTCTACATGGTAGACTTATAGGCTGGTATCCATCTTTTACCTAGAGATCTGATGCAATAATTTCTAATATTTTTTTGTGAATCTTAATAGATTCATGTGTGAACAAGGCAAAAGTTGAAGAAAGTGAACAGAAAGCAGCAGAATTTTCAAAGAAGGTAAAGCCATAATTGTTAACAATTTATTCGTAGTAAATATTTTATATTTATTTATGTGAAGACTTAAAAATGTTTTTTCCATTATGTAGTACTGCATGTTTTTGGTTAAAACATAACCATAAAATATTGGTTTCATTCCTGATAAGATAAGGCTGTTTGTTACTGTTGCCTCCTCATCACCTTTAATTCATTATGGAAGAAAAACACTAGGTGTATTCTACCAGACTGATAAATGAAATAAAATTAGTTTATTGGAAGGATATAGTTTGAAGCAGTCAACCAAAATGCATTGCCCACATCGCTTTCTTGCAATTCTCCTTTACGATAGGTAGCTGCCTTGGAGAACTGTGAATTGTTTAGCTAGTCCAATCTGTTATGATCTTTAATGACAGTGCTATTAAATAGCAACAGAATTACACAGGGTTTTTTCTCTCTCTGTCTCTATGCTTTGACTTGTCCTCTTGGAGTTTTATAATTACCAGTTTTAAATGATTCTGTTACTTCATATAGGTTTGGTGGAATTTGATGGCTCCTTTCTTTGTACGTTAATGAATTATATAAATATAAGTTTTATGACTATATTAATTTTATTTAGATTTCAAATTGTCTTTTCCTTGTTTCATGAAAGCATGACTACAGTTTTACTAGTTTCTACCAAAAGTTGCATTTTTTGTTGTTGTTGTTGTTGTTCTAGACCCTAGGATGTGTTAGTATAATATTTCTCTCCTGTTGGTGTCAGGGGGAAGGATTGAAACATAGGTCTAAAAACTCTAGTTTTCAGCCTTCTGACAGCAAGATAAAGTGCTTACATATTGCTGTCTCTTCAAAGTTATGACTTACCTTGGAGATTAGATAATCACTTTTGCTATCACTCTAGAAATTATAGAATATTACTGAAGTTACTTCAGGGCATCTGAAGAAATGTCTTTGCTCTTTTGGTTACTGGAATGGATTTTCAGAGTTTGGGCATAAAATGTTTGTGCAACGTTGTCATTTTATTGGTGGAAGAAAATGAACAATTTTTAATAGACATTTATATTTGTAATGTTTTTGTCTTAAGTAGCACATTTAAAATTCTCTTTGAAAATCTTAGAATCTTCTTAATTTTTTGCTGGCACTTTGATTAGATGCCACAAGACTAGAAAATTATGATGATCTATCTGGTAAAATTTTCTGTAAGCATATATAAAGGGAAATGGAGTCCTGAAATAATAAAAAAGATGTTTCAGTGTTTAGTGCTTTATTCTCATCACCATCATTTAGAATGAAAACATGTATGGTCTTCCAGTGGTTATCTTGCATGCCTTTTCTTATTCTGGGTGATTTTAAGAGGCTGTATAAAGTAGTAAAAAACAAGTGGGGGTATAGAATGAGAAGAAATAGTTGTAAGATCTGATCTTAGCTTTTCCACTAATTAGCTATGACTTTAAGTAAGCTACTTACTCTCTTTGGAACTTAATTCTTTCATCATTTATAGAAGAGGATAAGATTAGTGGCCATGTAAGAAGTCTTCCAACTTGCATATCTCAGGTTTCTGTGATTCCTATTCTATGGGTTTACAGATTAGGATCACTTTAAATTATAAGCATTGTGTGTCTCTTTTCAAATGTACTAACAAACCATTTATAAAGGAAAATGGTATAGTTTGCATCATGCTTAAAAAAACACACAGATGAAGCTAACTTTGGGAGAGTGGGTAGAAGTATAGAATGAGATAATTTTTTAAACAGATGTTTATTTATTTTTGAGAGAGAGAGTGAGTAGGGTATGGGCAGAGAGAAGGGGGCAGAGGATCCAAAGCAGGCTCCACTCTGACAGCAGTGAGCCCAATATGGGACTTGAACCCACCAACCACAAGATTATGACTTGAGCCGAAGTCAGGTACCCCAGAATGAGATAAATCTTAACATGAATGGTAGTGAAGTTGAAAAACCTCCATCTTTTCAGTGAAGTGTGAAACATGGTCATTTACTGACTGTGAAGGATCAGGGGTGAGTTTGAAATTTTTAAATATTAGAAAAATTTGGACTAACCTCTATGGAACATTTTCCAGAAACTCGAGTAGTAATGAATAAAAGAACTAGTGTTTCATGTTTGACCCAAACACTATTGTTATCCAATTTGTTTACACACTCTTTCTTCAGACTTGGATATGTTTGACATTCTTTAATTTCCAAAGGTCAAATCTATGAAGGTGAATATTTATTAACAGTGAATATAATTTTTATTGTTTCACAAACTCTAAAGACAATTCTAGACAGTAAGATATATCAATTTTAGGAACAGAAATAATATAATTGTAATAAAGTATAGACTTCTAAAGTGATTTAAAGTGATGCTGATAATAAAGGGCAAATGTTTTATAGATGGACATACCAGTATTTATGTATACAGGCTTGTATGGTTCTGCTTGGAGCCCTGACTGAGGTAAGGGCTGGGCTAAATGTAGTAAATGGATATTCATCATTTAGATGGTCTCTCCTGCTTAGCACACTATAATTATGCATGTATGTATATATGTTTCAACTTCCTATTTAACTTCTAATTAGTTAACATGTATTGTAATATTAGTTTCAGGAGTAGAATTTAGTGATTCATTACTTCCATATAACAGTTCTCATCACAACAACTGCCCTCCTTAATACCCATCACTTATTTAGCCCATCGCCCTGCCTACCTCCCCTCCAACAACCCTCAGTTTGTTCTGTATGGTTAAGGGTCTCTCTTAAGGTTTGCCTCCTTCTCTCTTTTTTAATTTCCCCTGTGTTCATCTTTTGTTTCTTAAATTCCACATATGGGTAAATCATATGGTATTTGTCTTTCTCTGACTTTTTTGGCTTAGCATAATACACTCTCGCTCCATCCAGGTCATTGCAAATGGCAAGATTTCATTATTTTTTAT